CAAGTTTGCACACGAACTCGCGCGCGTTCGCGCATGTTGTTTTAATACGGAACTTGTCAACTGAGTGGAATCATGCAAGTTCTCTGGTGAATGTAACAATTTCGTGCGCGTTTTTATCATTTTTTTACAAGTTTTCACGTAGTTAAATCCCCCTAGGAAAAAATATTTAGTTTTATCAAGTTTCAATCTATTGAATATCTCGGTGACTGTTTAACGACTTCATGATGTGACTTAAATTCCTATGAAAATGAAAACATAATTTTCAATTTCTTTGCGATTTAATTTAGAATTTAATCATAAATAATAATTGAGTTAGTCACAATCACCTGTACTGAAGGTTTCTACTTGTCGAATTTAATGATATCGTAGTTGTTGTTCTCCACTGTATTAGATACTGAGATGGAAGTATCTAATGCATCTCTTCTGTAGATTACTTGAGTGGCATCAAGTGTTTTGAAAAATCGCGAATGAAAGATCTTCCAAGCAGAAATCAACACAATTAAACTAAAACCAATTGCCAGCAAACAAGTTATCGCAAACAAATACTTTTCCATTAAAATTATGCTATTGTGCATCTTGTCGTTGATCTGATAGTTTTGTTCAGCGTCCATTGAAATCAGATGTTTCTTCTCCGTTTTGTGCTCAACAGTCTCCACTGTTTCCGTTGTTTGCGTTTTTTCATCGCTTTCCGCCTTCTCTGTGTCGATATCAAAACTAACGTTATTTTCTGAACGTGCAGTTGTGGTTTCACTTGAATCATTTCGAATCATTTCTTCATTATTAGCCGAAGTGCAGTTGCGACTAATTCGATTTGAAATTGCGACCAAATGTTGCGGTGTAATTGATTCAAAAAGCTTTTCAAGGTATGAGCAGTTGAATTTGTTGCTGTCGATGCCGGCGATTTTCAGGTTTCGAAGATCTGACGGAAGCGTATTCAAATCCAATGTTTTTAATTGATTATAGGATAAATCCAGTCTGGTCAATTTTGATAAAGATGAAAATGTGCCCGGTTTAATTTGTGTTAAGCTGCAGTTGGACAATGACAAAGTCTCAAGTTTTAAATTATTCGCAAATGTTTCTTTGTCCACATTCTTAATTGGATTGCCTGATGCGTTGAAATGCACTAAATTTTCTAAGATGGTCAAAGTCTTTTCCAAAGCATTCATTTTTGAGATTGTGATCTGATTAAATGAAATATCTAAATGCGTCACATTTAAATGTGTATCAAATATCTGCCGATTCAAACACGTAAGTTTATTGTGCGCTAAAATCACTTTTTGTAAGCCCAATGCACTAGAAAATGCAAAGTGATCAATCGTAATTATTTTGTTATTCGATAAATTGACATTGTTTAGTTTTTCCATATTGTGGAACAAAAACGACGGAATTTCAACAATATTATTAAATGATAAGTCCAACGTTTTCAAGTCAATCAGTATTTGGAATGTATTGACCGGCAATTCAGTAATGTTGTTGTATAACAATAACAAAGTTTCCAGATGGTTTCCAGCAGAGAAGGCGTTTGGATCAAAATAATTGATTTTATTTTTTGAACAGTCCAAATATTTTAGTTTTGTGCATTCACCAAATAAGTTCGCCGGCACTTCAGTGAGTTTGTTTCCTGCTGCATGCAGAGTTTCCAACTGCTTGGCTCCTACAAAACTTTCTGGTTGCAATGTTTCTATGCCAAGGTTTGTTAAATTCAAATAATACACATTATAGTACACTCCGAAAAAATTGTTCTGAATTTGCGCAAGATCACAGTTTTCAAAATTTATTAAACCGATATGCCACTTATGAAATCCATTTTGGTTGAAGCACGTAGACCATTGACTTGAGAAATAGTTGGTTTCCATATAATTTTCGATACAAATAAACTTTAAAGAATAATGACCTTCTGCTGATTCATCATAGTGACATCTCGCAATATGTTGATATTTTTGCGAACAAACACCAAGAACTCCAGCCAAAATGACAAAAACTAAGTAAACGAAATGTAAATTCATCCTTATTGCTGCTGATTTTATTGCGAACCAAATAATCAACTGATTGTTTTGAAGTGCATTTGACTACTGAAATCGAGTGTAAGTTTAAGTCAGCGCTAAAGCGGATGAAATAGCTGATACTGAAATCTCAAGGAACGTGCAGTGAGCAGCTCATGCACATGCACAGTTCGGTTTCGTTTGTCTTCACTCAAAAGAAAGAACATAGTTCGTATTACATCCTAAGTAAAGAGATAAATGAAACAATTGTTTACTCCGAATAGATAGAAAAAATGATCCAAATGTGTAGACTTTATTTTCATTTTGGATTAGAATCACACTGAAAAAAAAATATGCCAAAACATTTTCTATATTGCAATTACAAATTAATAACAATATTCAACTGCCATATTAAATCTATAAACATTTTTCAGCATTTTTCTGAGTTCATAGTTTAAAATTAATATTTGATTGAGATTAAAGTCTGGTTTCGATTCGATGTATTTTCCTTTGATTGTGCTTTGCCATCCTTATGCAAACTGCTAGCTCGACCCATATATTCAATTGATTCAGCAACAGGATGAAAAAATACAAAAAAAAATTATGTATTCAGTTTACGGAGTCACATAAGAATTCACTTAAACAAGCCTAAAAATTTTCTTCAATTCAAATCAAATTTCAATCACCTCAAATTAAAATTGCCATTCCGTTCATTTCTTATTAAATCCAATGACTTCGTACTGGTTGTTTACAACGGCGTTGCTTAGTTCGCTTTGTTGGTAGAAAACGTTTGCAGTCTCAAGTTTCTTGAAACATTGCGTACGCAATGTGATCCACAGCAATGTTAAAGCAATGACTCCGAATGCGATTGTGACTACGCATGCTAAGACGAACAAGTATTTTTCGATGGAATCTAATTTATTGTGCAACGGGTTCAAATGATTTTGCAGATTCGGATGATATTCATTTTCAGTCAGATTCAGGTGATTCGATGCTAACTCTTCCATTCTTTCCGCTTTCGTTTGAATCGTTGTTGATGTTTCAATATAAGTCTTCAAATCGGGCACAGTCTCGGTTGAATTTTTCATGACTTCGATCACTTTCTCTGTTGTAGTCAGTTTTTCGGTTGTTGAGCATAAATTTTCGTCGGGTTTTTGAGTGAGTTCATTTTTTTGTGCGAATTCAGCTTTTTCTAACACTTTGGACTTTTGTGTCACTTCAGCTTTTTGATTTGATTCAGTTTTTGCCAAAGTCGTAGCAATTTCAAGTGTTTGTTTCAATGATTGAGTTGTTGCTTCTTCCAAATGATTTGTCGTAGTTTCTACTGATGAAATTGAATCTTTTTCGGTGGCTATCGGTGTTTTGCTGATTGATTGAGTTGATGCGATGGATGGGATGGAATCCACAATCATGCTTTTAATCAAATCCAGGGCCATTTTTCCTTCCTTAGCATGTACTGTTTCCGTTGTTTGTGTTTTTTCAACGCTTCCCGCCCTCTCTGTGTTGATATCAAGAACAACATCATTTTTTGGACGTACAGGCGTAATTTTACTCACATCAGTTTGGTTTACTTCATCGTCACTACTCGAGTTACAATTGCGGCCAATTCGATTTGAAATTCCGGAAAAATATTCCCTTGGAATTGTTTGGAATAGTTTTTCGAGGTATGAACAACTGAATTTATTGCTATCAATGCCAATGATTTCCAGGTTGTCATTCCAGTCATACCGTGCGAACACCTTTCGATCTAATATTTTTAAATTATTGTGGGATAAATCGA